CGACCACCTTGGGCTCTCTAAGGGGCACCTAAATTTGACCACACGGGCCTACAGCAGTTTCGTCTCCAACGGAAGTGCAGCTGCCACAGCCGGGATATGGTCCCGGAACTAATGTCTTGATGTAAAAACTCTTAACAATGTTTTGTCAATTTAAGAAAGGCCACTAATGACGCGCAGCTCCCACATATTGTTATGGCGAATCACATACATTAAGTGGAAGTGCCAAGAACGCATGAAATGCAGGTTGTTCATTTCCAGCTTGGAGTGGATGGCGGCAACATATGGAGTCTAGAGATTAGCTCAATTTACCGATGATTTATAAAGGCAGTGCGAGTTCGTAATATGTGCGTCAAAGCAATGTTTTCCACCAGGATGCTGGTGTCTTCTTCCTGCTGTGACGTGCTCGAGAGATAACGGTACATAGTTGAGACGGCGTTCCAGCACGAGTAATTCATTTTGTAGCAGCTGTTGCTGACGGCAGCTGCAGAAACCACAGTTCAAAGGAATCTACGCTGGATAGCGTCAAATACCCTTTGCGCGTAAAGACCGGTACTATGATTGCTCAGAACTGAAGCTTTTCCCAACACACGACAGCATCGGAACACATTCTTTCGAGTCAGAGTACTGCTGTCCTCATTAGAAATAAAGAGAACAATTTTATGTTTGTGGGGCATTCGTCGCTCAAGCCCACCGAATATCAATTTTGTTTACCCTTCCCATGTATTTCACCATGGCAATGAGCTTGGCCAGATTATGATTTTCATATTTCTTGCAGAGCGCTTTCACTCAGCCAGCGAGACCCGCACCACGAAACCCCATCTTAAGAAAGGAAAACAAACAATCATCCTTTCTTGTCCTGCATGATGCCCGAAGGAAATGAGTCAGGCGGATTCTGATTAAAAAATCTTCTAGTTCCCGGAAAATTCAGCCTTGTTCGGATAAGAACCCCGTGACTAATGCCTTTCCGTGGTGGTAGCTCCACCAAATTCAGTTATATATATATTTTTTGTGGCTTCTTGCTACGAACATTCGCAGGCTAAAATGCTGTAGGCCCGTGTGCTCAGATTTTGGTGCTGGTTAAAGAACCCCGAGTGGCTGAAATTTTTGAAGCTGGCCACTACGGCATCTCTTGTCATCATATGGTGGTTTCGAGACATTAACTTCTCACTTATTATTGTCTGTTCACACGTCACATATCACCGTCTCCTTGTAGCACATTACTTGTGCTACGAACAGACGGTTAATAATTTCTCGTCCCTATAGCTATTTTGCCACCTTTCGTCACTTTTATCAACAAGCCCTCAACTTCTGAAGCGTGAATTTTAATTGGCGCAAAGAAAATAAATGCAGACAGGGCACCAGTGTTTGCCACGCGTGACACCACAGCCAAATGTTCTGTGTTCCTTTTTACTGCGTTAATAAGCAAGATAATTTAATGAACTCTTTGAGCAATTGAGCTTAGCTAAAATTTTTTATAAGAAAATTTTAGATTGGTGTGCGAGGTGTGTGACCGGACAGTTTCTATTTATTTGGTATTGCTATTTTTCTCACTACAGAATGTTGAGAAAAAATTGCCATAATATGATGACTTGCGGAAATATGCGTGCCGCGCTCGCAGTGCTCCATAACTTTTATCATGCACGCGACGATTACATTTGCACAGGTGCGCTGTCAGTTAAGAGAAGACAAGCCAAGTGCAATGCTGATCGCTGTGCTATGAAAAAATTGTTGCGTGCGGCAGCATGAGCAATAAGCTGTTAGTTTTTTTTTTCGCCCCTTGGCATAGGTCAGTCCTTGTCTCCATCATATTCAAGAAAGCTGCGCTTTAGGTGCTTGGGCTGTCGGTTTGTACCTTTGTCTTCTACTGTCATCTCCTGCCACGTTATGTCGTGGCTTTGAGCCACGCAGATAAAGTCATCTATAACACAACATGTACGAGTAGGGCAGAAAAAGGAGCAGTTGAGATAATGTCTCCTTGTTATAGACGTACATTCAAGCAAAGGTTGCAAGCTCAGAAGCTAACGGGGCACACTACAAGCGCAGGGAACAAAAGAAAGTTGAGGCGGGGTCGCGGCTGTTCCTAGTCACAACCAGCGCCTGCACTTTCAACATAAATGTTATGGGGTGAAAGACGCTTCAATCAATCAATCAATCAATCAATCAATCAATCGATCAATCAATCAATCAGTTTTAATGTTTGTCGTACATATAATGGCTGGTTATTATTATACATGTAGGACCCCAGAGCCCAGTCAAGGCAGTTGCAGAGTGCTTTTACAATGGATCTACAGCACTCGAAGGCAGGCGCACAAGATGGAGCCCAGTCTGCTTGGGATACCACCAAACATTGTTTTCTGGATATTATGTTCATATCTGGCACCCCGTAGCATTATGAGCAATATGTCACCTATCACTGCAATTCGTAAGGAGCCCTTTCTGATTCCTCATGTCTTCGTGAATGCCAAGAAACTTCACGTAGGTTTTCAGAAAGCTAGGAATACCAATATAGAAAATGATAAAAACTCAAAAATACAGTTTTTCTTTTGTGGTGACGTTGCCACTTACAGTGACAGCATGAGGTGCCTAAATTCAAGACACTAATCGCGTCTGTAGCTTTACACCAAAAAAATTGTTATGATGTCAATAGGCAAAAACATAACACGCATACAATTTAGCAGAGTTACAAAAGTTTATTTCTTCTGAATCCGCAGTCCACATACTTGAGACGGCTGTAGCACAGAATAAAAAAGGGGCGGAAAAAGACGTAAGGAAGACTGATGAGAATCAAGTATGAATAGACAGGCTAAAGCCTACCATAGCCATATACAGTATAGTATAGCCATGTGTAGTATTGTACACCGCAGAGGTGGAAAAGAAAGTCAGGACGTGGATGAGGTCAGTAAAGTGATGTAAAGCAAAGCAAAGCCTCTTGGCCTTCCCAGGAAAGTGTGGTGGGCTCACTGGGTGCCCTGATTGATTGATATGTGGAGTTTAACGTCCCAAAACCACCATCACTGGGTGCCCTGACATGCACCCAGCTTCGCCATGTTGCATCCCATCTTATGAAAAACAGTCGATGAACGATGGTATTCCGGCAGCAGTGAGGCCCAGCAGTCCGATCGGCTGTTTTAAGGATGAAAACCAGGGTAAGGTATGGTGGGCGGTGACAACGATGAACCATCTTTGCTGCTAATAGGGACGACATTTGCGCACTACCCAAACAGCACGAGGCATTCACGTTCGGTATTCGAATAATTTCACTGCGCTGGAGAAAAGAGACAGCCAGCGTATGCAATGACGCGGTCGCTACCACGCTGCCGTTGAGCCAAAACAACACCAAAGCCATGGCCGCTGGTGTCGGTGCGCACTTCTGCTGAAGTGGACAGATCCACGTGGCTATGAGTCGATGCCGCCGTAAAAGGCATGGGGAGTTAAGCAAATCTAATGGCTTGATCACTACGCTAGACAAAAGCTACATTGTTCCTGGGTAGTTCTGTGAGAGGACGCCAAACGTCAACTAAACTGCGTGCAAATGTTCGAAAACAGAAGCGCAGTGCTACCGAGCTTCGGACATCGTCGTTAGCATACGTTAGCACAAAAAAGCATTGCGTGAACTTTTTCGGCGTTGGGACGAACACCGGAGGAATCCCGAATGTGTCCGAGTACTCTTAGTTGCCGGCGACCGAAGTAGCATTGCGAGGAGTTCAGCTGCAGTCTGGCTTTAGGGAAAGCAGGTTTTGAAGAAGAGGTGCTTTATGTTTGTTTCTGAAGTTTGTGAAAAAACAATCATGTTATCCAGGTTGCACAAGCAGCTTGACTTCTTTCAACCATAGAAAAGGGTCCATCATCCCTTCACACATTGCTTGGGCGTTGAATAACCCGAATGGTATCAGTTTGAGTTAATAAATGCACTCTGGTGTAGTAAATACGTTGTTTTGATGGTCAGTTTCAATAAATGCTATATGCCAGTGCTCAGAACAAAAATCAATCTAGGAGAACATGGTGTTGTGTATGCATGCTTCAGTGCTAAGAACGCCGAAGGACGATAGCTTTGGATTCTGTTGCCGAGATGTCAGCTATGCACGTCCACATATTATCGGAGCCCACCGATGTGTTATTGCAGCAATAGCGGCTGGCGTCAGTCAAACGAGTCTAACTCACGCTGCGGGTGGTTCGAATTAAACTTGCTGACGACTGTACAACCATTTATGCTGCATAAGCACAAAGGTACAAGCACCTGCTGTAACATGCATTGCAGAGGTACAGTGAAAATTAAATTGATCCTCGCTTTTATGCCAAATTCATTGATTTAAGTATTTTGCCATGATAGCCTTATCAAAGAAAAATGAATTAGAGTACTATTATAGTGTTCTGAATATTCAGTGCCTGTACGTATGCCTGCGAGTGAATACTTTCATGCTGATCTGTTTTTGCTTCATACATGAAGTATCATATATATAGGTTGTTACAACGGCATTCATTAGCATACAATGTGGCAACTTCTATAATGAAATGAGTTATGCTATATTCTGTCCAGGAAGTTTGCATTGGTGAATATACGTAGCAGTTCTTCAGCCTGAACTACATTTCACTATCAAATCGCTATATGTTTCTGTCAAGACGTAATAGCCTCCACTAGACATGGCAAAGCACTAGCTATTAGATAGACAATTGTTTGATCCCGGAGTAACAAATGAAGACACTCTCCACATGATGGAATCTTCTGACGAGAATAATGAACAAGTGATTACTCGCAGTGTGTCCCGTAAATATGTTTTCATGTCGAGTGCAATCTGTTCATTTTTAACTCATATCAGGAGAGAGTTGCAAGACCGACTTATTTATAAGTACGTGAAGGACTCTTCGGAGCCAGTTAAGGGCTGCAGATGATTTAATTTCATCTACACGTGATTAACGATATTAAAACACATTGAAACAGCTTGGAGTGGACGCATGTTGGCAGCTTTGGTGTAGCCAGCTCCCTCCACACGTGTAAGTATAAATGGAGTCGTCACGATAGCCTTATAATGCAGGTCAGATATTTCTGCGCTACATTGGCTGCACTGTGAAAACCTCTGCATACGGCTGACCATCAACATGCGTTTCTCAAGTGGATTACTTTGGTTGTCGGCAATTCCATTTACCTGCGGTATGCCTTGTTTTGTTTGAAATAGAAACTTGAACTTTATATTAATGTTTTTTACAATCAAGAACGATTAAGTTCATCTACCAGAATAAGTGTGAAATCAGGCTCGTGAAAGCAGCCAGACCTTCTGACTACTATGCACGTTGTTTTTGCTACATTATTCTTAGTTTCTATATAATAGAACTGAAATTTCGCTGCGGCGTTTTTGTGTCGGGAGCATTCCCGCTGCATTCGAACGGTGTTTATCCTTATTATTATAGCAATCGCCGCAGTTCTTCTGAAGTGTTAAAAATTCATGTAATTAACAGTGACGTAGCGACGTAATTCCTAGAGACGCACAAGAGAAACACTGTGAAAATCATTTGATATTGAAATAAAAATTGAGTTCAAAATTTTTTGAACAGCATTAAAATATGAATGTGAAATTTTCTAATCTATAGGCATTTCGTTCATTTCAGCGATACCACTTGGTGATTTTGAGGGACCAGTGAAGAAAATAAGCCGTAGGTGCACCCCGGTAAGGCAATGATTTCTACGTATTATCTGATTGAATTCTGAGGTGATTACGAAGTAAAAAAAAACTAAATCAATGTCAGTGTTACAACCTTAATGTTCGCATTTCATTTTTTTGTTCAATTGAATTTTATAAGTTTACAATTGAAGGCGCCAAAAAAAAGAACAGAAAAATTCAGAAAAGACTCATGCGACAATGTTTCATCTCGGCGCGGATAGTTTACTATATCGCCTATGATTACTGGTAAACCTGCTAACGAATAAATTTTACATTTCACGCACAATACGTGCTTTCACAACTGTAAGATATTTCTAGTGTCTTGCAAACGTTTAATCTTGTTTTCAATTCCTCTCATACCAAACATACGGAAACACAAAGCGGCTTTGTTCTCGTATGTTTGCTTTATAAACCTAATCATATCATCAAAACTAGGCTTTTATATGTACGTACTTATCTGGTGCTTATCTCCACAGCACGTTATAGGTGCAATAAATCATCAAGCACCAACCGTGTCAATTCCTGCCACTTCTATTCCACCCTCAAGTCACTTTTGGCCAACACCAAATACCTTGGTGGTGCTCGCGCTCCTTGCTAGTAAAAACCCCTGTACAAAGTTTTAAGGGTACTTTAGATCACTCAACAAGTAAATGAGGCGCGAGTCAATCATACACTTCGATTCTCCAGTTATGGACGTCGTAAACGCTTCCCTGGGCGTGGTTATTCCCACAGGGCAAAATAGATAAAAGTTTCTTGTTTTGTCGAGGACAGAATTGTATCAACTGGTCACACCATAAATAGATGAAAGTAACTTAATTGTCGTGGAAAAAAGGTCTTATATAGATACGGTTGTATATACATTGAGGAGGGCTTGCCGGAGCTATCACGGAGAGAATGCCGCAGCTGTATCTCACGCGCCGGTGCCACCGTGCGGAAAACAGCAAAATTTAATCAGTATCGCTTACGCGGAAGCTCTGATGGCAGGCTGGAGATATATCTTTAGAGGTCTTGGGGTTTTGAATTTATAACAAAAATTCAACTTGGTTGCAGCCAGTTCAACGTCTTGTTGTCGAACTGGGCATGTTCAAAATCTCTGGAAATGCTTCTTTAAGCGGCGTAATAGCAGCCGTACGTTGCTTAGAAATGGTGCATTTTAACTAAAAAGGCGAGTTTACGGTCTCCTTGCATTGGTTTACGTGCAAGGTTTACGTGCAATGCAAGTTGCATTGGTTTACGTGCAAGAACGTGCAGTTTACGTTCTCCTTACGTTCTCTGGCATTGGTGCTATACTCGCTCAGATACAGAGTGGCACCAACCGTGTGATAGCCTACGCTAGCCGTCTTTTGTCGCAAGCGGAACAAAATTATTCCATCACTGAGCGGGAATGCTTAGCCCTCGTTTGGGCTATTGCGAAATTCCGTCCGTACTTATACGGACGTCCGTTCGCAGTCATCACGGACCATCATGCGCTTTGCTGGCTGTCGACGCTTAAGGACCCTACAGGAAGACTCGGCCGATGGGCACTTCGATTACAGGAGTACACGTTCTCGGTTGTTTACAAATCTGGAAAGCAGCACAGCGATGCTGACTGCTTATCCCGGCACCCTGTTGATCCACCTAGCTCCACTGATTTGGAATCCGATGCCTGCGTTTTAGCCATCACTGACTTTCTGAACGTGGCTGACGAACAGCGCCAAGATCCATCGCTGCTCACCATCATTGACCGCCTTCAATCGCGTTATGCTGACCCTTCTCTTAGCAGATACCTGCTTCAAGACAATGTTTTGTACCGCCGCAACTTACACCCCGACGGCGCCGAACTTTTACTCGTCGTACCGCATCACCTGCGAAAGGATGTTCTGCGACAATTCCACGACGCTCCAACTTCTGAACATCTAGGAGTCTCCAGAACTTACGACCGCATTCGACGACGAGTATATTGGAAGGGTCTGTACCGCTCTGTTCGCCGTTACGTCACATCTTGTGACCTCTGCCAGCGCCGAAAGAAGCCGACGACTCTCCCTGCCGGTCTACTTCAACCTATTGAAGTTCCAGCCGAGCCATTTTATCGAGTGGGGTTGGACTTGCTAGGCCCTTTTCCTACTTCTACAACTGGAAATAAATAGATTGCAGTGGCTACAGACTATGCCACTCGGTATGCAATCACTCGAGCGCTACCAACCAGCTGCGCAACCGACGTTGCCGACTTCCTGCTGTACGACATTATTCTCCAGCACGGCGCTCCGACTCACCTGCTCACAGACCATGGTCGCTATTTTCTATCTCATGTGGTTGATGATCTACTCCGATCTTGTGCTACCCGTCACAACTTCACCACATCTTACAACCCTCAGACTAACGGCCTTACGGAGCGACTAAACCGCACATTGACGGACATTCTTTCCATGAACGTATCTACCGACCACACTGATTGGGACATAGCTCTTTCGTTCGTAACCTTCGCCTATAACTCGTCGCGTCATGAAACAGCGGGCTACTCCCCTTTTTATCTACTCTACGGACGTCATCCCTTACTGCCCTTCGACACACTGCTTTCATCAGACCACCCATCCTCCACCTCGTACGCTCAGGATGCAATCACCCGTGCCCTCACGGCACGTGCGGTAGCGCGTGCTCGGTTATCGTCGTCGCAGACAGCACAGAAGTCTCTTTATGACCGTCGACATAGAGATGCCGTTTTTTCTGCGGGATCTCTTGTTCTCCTGTGGCTCCCATCTCGACGTGTTGGCCTCTGCGAGAAACTTTTATCGCGATACGCTGGGCCCTACCGAGACATTCGTCAGGTCACACCTGTGACCTACGAGATTGCCGCTACCACAAACTCATTAGCTGCTGCTCCCAGAACGGAAGTGGTCCACGTTTCTCGTCTCAAGCCCTACAACGCCGACTCGCTCATTTAACAGGCACCGAGACGGTGCCTTACGGGCCGGGGTGATGATAAGTGTATGGAACTGTCGCACCGACACAGCTGAATTGGCACCCAAATGAAGAAGACGACAACGTGGTTGTAGTGGGTTGGACTCTGAAGCTTCTCCCGTTGGCCTGCTTGACTGTGCGCTCTCTAAGCCGTTAGCAAGACCCGCTCTCAGTGAATAAATCTTTCCCGTAACAATATATACTATGCGACAGCTTTTATTGGTCATGAAGGTAAAGCTACGGACGTGGAGCTTCCGCCTATCTAAGACTACGCAAAGTAGTTCATTTTCGTGTGCGTCTCGTAACGCTGTGGAAATTGACAGGAGCGCACCTTCAGCATTTCATGTAGACGCAGACGCCGCTTAGCGTTTGAGGTGTGAGTAAAAAGGCGGTGCTTTTTTACGCGTTCAAAAACGCGAATTCACTGCAGATAAATAAATAAAATGCGAATATCTTGCAGGTGTGAGCTACTTGCTGTCTCAAATCGCTGCACGTAGAAAATAAAGAAGGAACATTTATATTTCACGTTGGAAATACGGGCGCTACATTGGAACTACCTTCACTGGTGGTAGGATGCACGTAATTTCTCTTCAGTGCCGAGAAAAGTGGTCACTGAGTAAGTACAGCTGCGTAATTTCAGCCAAATCAGCCACGAACTTCTTCCTTCTCAGCCTCTGCTGCCACTAGCTGTGGCAGTATGCCATGAACCACGATAATTGTTGATATTTCCTGTTTTTCAGTTATTAAAGCTTTGGTGCGTTGCTGGGTCAGTTGAAGGTAATAAGATAGAGGCTGGATTGTAAGGTAACAAAATAACGTTTCAGGCGCCTAAATTAGGGAGGCACACAAAATCGTAAATGTAGGCACAAACATTTTTCACCAAACACAAATTTTGGAAGAAAGACGTGCACAATTTATGTGTATGACTACAGAGGAAAAAAATAGGTATAGATTATGATAACACAAATGCATCAATACTTTAACAAGGCTATACAATTGTCTCTTTTTTCCGCATGGTTTGCTGAACTTGGTTTCTCTTTTTTGCTAAGTGGTTCTAAGAGAAAATGTAGGCACAAACATTTTTCACCAAACACAAATTTTGGAAGAAAGACGTGCACAATTTATGTGTATGACTACAGAGGAAAAAAATAGGTATAGATTATGATAACACAAATGCATCAATACTTTAACAAGGCTATACAATTGTCTCTTTTTTCCGCATGGTTTGCTGAACTTGGTTTCTCTTTTTTGCTAAGTGGTTCTAAGAGAAAGAAAGGAAGAGAAAAGTGAGCCCTGTAACTGTCTGCTTCAGGGAGCGACACCTCATTAGTAGCTCACAAGGGATAGGGTGAGGAGGGATTAAAAGGATAGGAACAAAGGTGTAGAGAGAGAAACAGTATGCCAGAGAGCGAGCGCGATGACATATCGAGGGGATAAGAGAGATATAAAAGATGGAGTCCGAGGACGGGGCACCACTTGCGAGAGCTCTTGTCGGCGTCAGTAGATGGCGTAGAGCAAGTCCAGTCGGTGAGAGCTACACTGTCGTCGAAGGTCGTCGGTGTCAGGAGATGACGTAGGGTGAGCCCAGTCGGCCAGAGCTACGTGGACGTCAGAGATCGCGAGGGCACAACCGGTTGGCACGGAATCCAGCAAGCGAGCCCCCCTCCTTTTTTTTTTGATGTCCAGCGTGGTGACTCAAGTGTCTATCATCGAATAAACACGCTCCTGAGTTTCTACTTTTTCGGTATAAAGAGGAAGACAAGCACAAACGCAAGTAACCAGACCGCAAAAGGACCAGAAGGGTCTTTCAGCCTCGTAGAATATAGTCGAGCAGGGTCAGTTTTTCACCTGCCTATGGCAGCATCTTAAGAGACTGCTTATCAGGTTTCAGCATTTTGAGCTAGCGAGTGTAATGCATGCAATGAGCTGTCAAGATCACGTCTCACAAGGTTTGAAACGCTACTTGCCCCGGAAAAAGATGTAACGTAGAACTGAGCGCCTCTCACCCTTCATCTCTCGAGTGCTTACCCTAACAAAGAGGAGGTGACGTAGAACAAGGAATGGCCCTG